ATCCTACTTCCGTAGTGATACTGCCTCAGAAACCCAAGGAGGGGTCGCTATGAGTCGGGTTTGACTCGACGGCAAACAACAACAACAAAATATCAGCTCTGGGAGCTCTGGTGGCATAGTGCCTAAGACACTTGACTGTTAACCAGAAGGTTGGCAGTTCAAACCCACCAGCCACTCCTCAGAAGGAAGACTAGGCAATCTACTTCCATGGTGATACTGACTGAGAAATCCAAGGAGGGGTCGCTGTAAGTTGGAGATGACTCGACGGCATTAACAACAACAACAACATCAGCTCTAGGGATAGAAACAACCACCTACACACAGTTTTTCAGTGTCACTGGAAGAAGTAACAAGCATCAGCAAGCCTGCTTTCTTGGAACTCCGTAAATGAACATGTACAAAACCATCATCTTTTTTATTGAGAAGAAAACATTCCTTCTGTTTTGGGTATAGTGAATACCACACTACCTGAGCACAAAGGGTTGGACAGGATGACTTTTGGGAATCCTTTGTATGTTTGCATTACAAGAAATGCTCAATTCCAAAATGAGGAGGATACTCACTAGTCACCTCAAAAGACTCTGCATCCAAAACACTGTGAACAGACCCTGAAATGTGTGTGATTTGGGGAAAAGGGAGGTAATTCTAATTCATGCATCTCCACTTTCCAGTCATACTAAAAAATTATCTCCAAAGGGTTTCTATCGTCTTGAAATCTGCAAATGCTGGAATCATTTACCTTTTCCTTTTATGGTGGTAATGGATTTAGAATCGCTCCAGTTTCCTATTCCACGACTAGTCACCGCAGCCACCTTTTCAAAGCAGAGTGTGAATTAGTGTGAAATAAAGGCAATATACCATATGGGAAGAATTCTGAATGAGCTAAAGGGGTAAGACTTTGGCAATGAGAATGGAAAAAATTATATAAGGGTGATCCAGGACATTCAGAGGTCCCAGCAACCATAATGAGAGGGGAAGGAGACAAAAAGAAGGAACCAGGGTAAAGGGAAGTGTGATAGTGCTAGGTAATAGAATTTCTATTAATTGACAGATGTCAAGATTTTTTTAAAGGGTAGGGGTGTGTGCATGGGTATCTATACAGACACATATAAACACACACACACACATATATGAAAATGCTATTGCCAGGAGCTGAGGGGAGAGGTGACACACAGGGCGTTTTTAGGGCAGTGAAACTATTCTGCGTGATACTATAATGGTGGACACATGACATTATGCATTTGTCAGAGCTCATAGGACTGTACAACATAAAGAGTAAACCCTAATGCAACCTATGGACTTCAGTTAATAATAATGTATTAATATTGGTTCACTAATTGTAACAAATATACCACAGGAATGCAAGATGTAAACAATAGGAGAAATAGGGTGTGTGCGTGGGGGAAAACTCTATTTCTGTGTGATTCTTCTGTAAACCTAAAACTGCTCTAAAAGAAAATGTATTAAGAAAAGTGTACTGAGGAAATTATCAGTGGGAGAGAGAATGATATGTGCATTTGATGGTCTCAACAAACATGTTTTGTACAAAATCTATCTCCTTTCTGCTAGACATTAAAGATATATCTAACATTCTCACAATATCAGTTTATAAGTGGCACTTATTACAGGTCTGTATCATCTGCAGCTGAAGATAAGCAGAAAAGATAAAGGTGCAAAAAGTACAGAAGCTAGAAAGCTAGCAGAATATTTGGGACAAAAACAGGTCAAAGCTATATTCTTTGAGGCTCTTGGTTATCCAAAGGAAGTCTGGTTTCCAGTTCTCTGTGGCATCCATTTAAGAGGATAAAAGAAAACCATGATCCCCAAGGTGAAGAGTTGGGGATTTTGCAGACTAATTTGTACCTACTAAACTTCTCATAAAATGGAGCCCACATTGCTAAGTTCTACAACCACCCACAGGCTGAAATGGCACTCACTCTGACAGTATAGAGAACGTTGACCAACAAGTCCTTTATTTCTGTAAAGTTACTAGCAGCCCTCTGGGAGGCCCATATCTTGGAACCACTCCTGCTGTATTCTACCTAAAGTGAGAAGAAAACATACTAGTAAAAAGTAGCCAAAGGCTGTGATTCAGCCATAGAATGAAATGAAGTCTCATACATGCTACCAAATGCATGAACCCTGAACACATGCTGAGCAAAAGAGGTCAGTCACAAAAGGACAAATACCGTCTGATCCTACTTACGTGAAATATGTACATTAGGCAAATGTATAGAGATCAAAGTTTATGAGTGGGCCCCAAGGGTTGGGGGCTAAGGGAATGGGAGTTATTGCTGAAGAGGTACTTTTTATCTGGGGTGATGAAAACTTTTGGAAATGAACAGTATGGTGGTAGTACAGCATGGTGAAAGGAGTGGGACTGACATGTAGACTTAATGGTTAAAATGGCAGACCTGTTGCAATATATATAACGTTAGGAAAAAATCTCATTCCTTTGTAGTCATTTTACCACAAAAAAATTAAAAATTAAAAAAAAAAGGTAAATGTATGTCTGGGGCATCCTAATGCCTTACAAGGATGTAGATAAGAGATGGATATAAGAGGAAGGTAGGATGAGAAATGTTCTAACAGAAGGGTCATTATTTACAAGGCCGTATGTCAGAAATCTGGGAGCTCTGGTAGCATAGTGCCTAAGGCACTTGACTGCTAACCAGAAAGCTGGCGGTTCAAACCCAATAGCCACTCCTCGGAAGGAAGATGGGGCAATCTACTTCCGTAGTGACACTGCCTCGGAAACCCAAGGAGGGGTCGCTATGAGTCGGGTCCAACTTGAAGGCACATAACAACAACAACAACATGCCAGAAATCTTACTCACCTTGACACAGGGCTAACACATGGAAGACACTTACAATGTACTCTCGGATAAGGCCATGAGTGTGGGCAGGAGGAGTCCAGTGACCCACAATCACACCTTCAGCTTCGCTGTACAGTGATAGCTGCAGATTTTGAGGGGCGTCTGGCACTAGAAGAGAGCCAACATGAGGTTAAAACCCACCTATATACCAGTTAACTAGCAATTTTCCTGAGCTTAAAACAAAGATAAGAGCTGGCACTGGGACTCATCCACTAGAAAAGACTATCACCTTGGCCTTCACATTGACACAAAACCCTTCCTCTTCCTCTTCTACCAGATGCAAGGGTGTAGTGTGTACACCCACCACCCAGACAGTTTGTTCTGCTGTAGTGGCTTGGGTGTTGCTGTGATGCTGGCAACTACACACCAGTATTTCAAATACCAGCAGGGTCACCCATGGTGGACAGGCTTCAGTCTAAAATGCTAGACTAAGCATCTAGACTAAAACACTGGGAAGAAAGGCCTGGTGATCTACTTCTGAAAATTAACCAATGGGACCTTACAGATCACAACAGAACACTGTCTGACTTGCTTGTTTTGGACCCATCATCAGGAAGGATCAAATGCTGGAAGATGACATCACGTTTAGTGAAGCAGAGGGCCAGGAAAACGAGGGGGACCTTTGGAAAGATGTACTGGCAACAGCACAGATGGACTGGAACATGCCAGCAATCGTAAGGATGGCACAGGACTGATCAGCATTTCATTCTGTTGGACACAAGGTCATCGTGAGTCACAGCTGACGACAGCTATCTATCCATCTCCCTACTTTCCACACATTAGATCATGGCTTAGTCTACTTTGACATCAATTTGTGGCTCACAAGAGCTAGATGATGGAATCACTTGGGCAGGATGAATCACCACTGCTCCTGGGACTTTAATTCCGAGATCTTAATAGTCAAAGAAAGCACCTGCTAACTCATTTTCTCGCACAACAAAACAGAGAACTATGGGTATGACTACAAAGGGATGAGACTTATTTCCTAACCTTACAGAACTGCTAAATCCAAATGAATATGATCACCCTCTAAGCAGATGCCTTAGTGAGCTTAGTGCTGGCATGTTTAAGGCTCTTCTGGATCTTCTCTGGTAGCTGCCTTTAGAGCCAGGTTAAAAGCTTACAATGTTTTATAGTCAAATTTCCTTGTAAATGCTAGGAGTATTTACACATACTGATAACCCATGGAATAATAATAAAAAACAGCTCACTGCCACTGAGTAAATTCTGACTCACAGCAAGGCAATAAATCTTTACTGAAGCAGACTGCCTCATCTTTCTTCCACAGAGTGGTTAGTGGGTTTGAACCACCAACCTTCTGGTTAGCAGTCAAGTGCATTAAACACTACACCACCAGAGCTCGTTATGGAAGAAGAATATTCATCCACAATTAGTGGCCTGCAAGCCCTTCAAGGGCAGGAACTACATCTTATTCATCTATGAATCTTTAACACTTCTACAATACCTGGGTAGTAGTAGGTGCTTAGCTAATATCAGTGGGATGAAAATTAAGGATAATAATTCAATTCTCCAGGACCATTCCCTGGAGAAGGATGTCATGCTTGGTAGGGTGGAGGGTCAACGAAAGAGGGGGAGGCCTTCAACGAGATGGATTGACACGGTGGCTGCAATGATGGGCTCAAGTATAGCAGGGATAGTGGGGCTGGCGCCGGGATTGGGCAGTGTTTCGTTCTGCTGTGCATGGGGTCGCTATGAGTTGGAAACGACTTGACGGCACTTAACAACAACAACAACAACAACAATTCAAATAAGCCAGCTCTGTAGGTGCTGATGGCAGTTGCAAATGAGGAGTTCACAAAATATTTCAAGCAATGGAAAAACATCACTGGGATAAGGAGCTATTCACCCAATGTCACTACTTTGAAGTGGGAAAAGGAATTAGGGACTCTCTTGGACACATGGGCACTGATATGTTTTGTAAAAAGAGACACAATATTTCTTGTTGTTCTTATCGCTAGTTGCCGTTTGAGGTCAGCTCTGATGCATGGTAGCCTCATGTCTAACAATGGAATATTGCCTGGCCCTGTAGTGTCTTCATGGTGGTTAGTATGCTTGAGTCCACTGTTGTAGTCGTTGTGTCAGTCACTCAACTGAGGATTTCTCTTGCCTTCACTGGTCCTCCACTTTATCAAACATGGTGACACATTCTGAAGTAAGCAAGTTGAAGTCTCAGACAATATTCTGTGACTCATAGTTCTCAATGGCTAATTTTCAAAGTAGATCACCAGGCCTTTCTTTCTAGTATGTTAGTCTGGAAGCTCCACTGAAACCTGTTCACCATGAGTCATCCTGCTGGTATACGAAACACCGGTGGCATTGCTTCCAGCAATACACTAGCAACCACAGTACAACAAACTGCCTGATATGAGCTCTGGTAGCATAGTGCCTAAGGCACTTGACTGCCAACCAGAAGCCTGGTGGTTCAAACCCACCAGCCATTCCTCGGAAGGAAGGTTGGGCAATCTACTTCTGTAGTGACACTGCCTTGGAAACCAAATGCAGGGTTGCTATGAGTTGGGTCCGACTCCATGGCACATAACAACAACATACTTAGGCGTGCGTTGTACTTTAATGATAGTGAGCTCATAAGTACCAAGTACTGGGAAGTACTTAAAGAAGGTAGTAGGCAAAAACTTCACAAAAATGAAAAAGACAGCAATGGTGGACAGAATCTGAATTTAACTTCTTAAAATAGAAGAACATTATCTGACATATTATAGAGAATAAATGTTCAACAACTAAGGTAAGATGATGAAACTAAAAGGAAGAAAGCAAAGGTACATGCAAATAGCAATGTTTCCATGCTCCCAAGCATCCTTTGTCAACTCTTGGGAAATCTTTAATAGTCCACTCAGAGTTGTGTGAAGGCCATAAATAAAAACCATCACACTTACATCCTTCTGGAGTCCTCAGGTTAACAAAGTCATTGGTGTTGTGCACCTTGCTCAGACACTGGACTTGTACTTTAACCTGATATGTGGTATCTGGTTTCAAGACTTTTAATACTGTGCTTGTTTTATTGCTGTGGGTCTCCAGAGCCTTCCATATGCTCTCTCCAACCACCCTGGCAAAAAGAAGAGAGATATCGTCAGATGGAAGCAGCATGGGGTGACTAAGATGCACGACTCAATAAAAAGCCACACCAACCACAGCACAAGAGACTTTATGAAGCATCTGGTGGCAGTGAAGATGTCATTTTCTTCTGCCACAGCAAAGATGAGACCTACCTGTAGTAGATGTTATAAACACAAGAAGCAGAAGGCATTTTTTTGGGGCGCATCCATGTCAAAGTTACATCCCCAGAGAAGTCAGCCGTCCACTGAAGATTCTGTACTTTGTATACAGTTAATTCATCTAAAGACAGAAGGGGGAAAAGTAAAAGAAAGTTATATGTTACAATCCTTGCATTTGAAATGGACCAAGAGGTCTCCTGCTTTTAGGCAGAGCTACCAGAGTCCTGGGAGCTCTGGTAGCATAGTGCCTAAGGCACTTGACTGCTAACCAGAAGACTGGTGGTTCAAACCCACCAGCCAGTCCTCAGAAGGAAGATGGGGCAATCTACTTCTGTAGTGATACTGCCTTGGAAACCCAAGGAGGGATTGCTATGAGTCGGGTCTGACTCGACAGCACATAACAACAACAACATCAGAGTCCTGGGTGGTGCAAATGTTAGTGCACTTGGCTACTAACCCAAAGGTTGGAGGTTTGAGTCCACCCTGAGATGCCTTGGGAAAAAGGCCTGACAATCTACTTCCGAAAAATCACCCACTGAAAACCCTATGGAGCACAGCTCTACTCTAACACACATGGGGTTGCCGTGAGTCAGAGTTAACTCCACAGTTTACTATGCTCTAGATGGCCAAGAGGCCAGTCATCTTAAAAGAAATCCCAGGCAATATAGTTGAAACTCCTTTCCTAGATTTCCAATCATATTTTTCCTTGTATTTTGCCTCCTTGTTTGCAGTAATTTCAATAGGAAATGCTAAAGGTCCGACAAGACCATAGGAAGATTCATGACCTAATATACTCCAGACAGAAGGACTGGGTTAACCCTCATCAGAGAACAGGGCTGTGTGACAGCCAAGGTCATCAACTCAAGGTGGGAAGGGCATCTGAAAAAAAGCTAAAAGCAGCGTTCCACTATGAGGGGTATGGAGTAGAACTGCTCCATGAGGTTTGCAGGCTGTGACCTTTCTGAAGCAGATCACCAGGTTGTCTTTTGAGGGTAAGGCTACCTGGAAGTTATAGCAAAGGTGGGCCAAGCCTCACTTCACTTGGTGCTCCAAAACTGGGCAAAAGGTGTCTCATCTTCAAATGTAGAAAAGATAAAAAGGGTCCTAGCTGGAGGCCCAACCAGGAGGGTTCAGGAAAACCCAGGAAGTGGCTGAGTGGTGCTGTCTAGACCGCGGCATGGGCAGTACCCACCACTGCAGGCCCGCTCATCACTGCCATCGGAACAGTCCAGGAAGCCGTCACAGTGCTCAGAGAGTAGGATGCAGGTCTCACCATCCTCACACCTGAACTCCCTGCTCATACAGGTCAACGTGCTGTGTGTGGCTGAAACACAAAGAACCCTCTTAAAGTCACATGGGTGGGGCTGAGAAACTCAAGGCCAAGTGCTCAGGCTGGGCTGGTTTACTTGTATTCAGGAAAAAAGGTTTGAGTTCTTTAAACTAGTCAGCTCCTGCTTTAAAATATGACTCTGGAATGAGGAATGGTAGAAGAGATGCTAAAACTATGACACTGTGTTATTTAACACAAACTACTAGAATCTGTCTTCAGAGTGAGAGCTTTGGAGGCACACAAATGTGGGTTTAAATTATGGCTCTGAGTGAACTGGAGCTTAACATCCTGAAGTTCAGTTCCCCTACATAAAATGGGACCAACAATTCTATCACTAGTATGTTTGTAAGGATCTATATAGATCGAGCACCTGGCTCACAGTGCCTCGGTTATAGCAGGGATCAACAAATTGTAGCTATTACTTGACAATACCGCTATTTATTCTATTATTGTTATTATTTTGCAGCTTAGAGTGACACTGATCACTGGTTTACGCAGTAATAATGGTGAGATGAACAACAATAATATTAAGAGGCATGCCTGCTCTTTGTGGCACTAATTAGATAGGGTTTTCAAAGCATTTTACATACAATGAGATAATGCAAATAAAAAGCATTGATAAAAATTAAGTTTTGCAACTCTACAGCTAGATGATTAACCATAATCTAATGTTCTCTCCAGTTCTGGAAGCAGATTTGAACTGCATGGGAGACTCCAAGTAGGAAGCTGTAACAGTATCACTGCAAATGATTCTAAAAAGAGGGAAGAAGGGAATGGTTAAAGAAACCAAATCTATTGCCCCAGACCATCAGGCCTAGCCCAGGTGAAGGTACGTCTTTAGGCGTTCATTATATGGACTCACACCTGCCTGCCCAATTTCTGAGCCAGTCCTGGAAAAAAAAAAAAAAAGTGCTATGTCAGAAACACAGTGAGAGATCTGAAGTTAATCTTGCTACTCCAACCCAAAGATATCCAGGTCATAATCCCTGGAACCTGTGACTATGTTATCTTGCAAGGCAAAAGGGTCCCTGAAGATGGGGGTAAGCTAAGGACCCTGAGATGGGGAGATAATCCTGAATTATCCTGGTGGGCCCAATCTAACAGGTTCCTCAAAGCAGTGAACTTTTCCCAGTCGTGGTTAAAGAGAACAATGTAAAGACAGTAGAAGAGTCAGAGAGACACAGTGTTGCTGGCTTTGAAAATTAAGGGGGGGGGGGGTCACAAGCCAAGGAGCACAGACAGCCTGGAGAAGCTGGAAAAGGCAAGAAACTACATCTCACCTACAGCCTCCAGAAGGAACCAGCTCTGTTGACACCTTGATTTTAGCCCAGCGAGACCCGTAAGATAATAAAAGCAAAACAGTAAGATAGTTAATGTGTATTGTTTTAAGCCAGTTAAATGTGTGATGATTTGTTACAGGAGTCAGAGAAAATGCACATACATTCAAAGGTGTGCATTTGCCCAGACCTAAATTTGGGAATTATGCCTTGGTTTAAATAATTTTAAATTAAATATTTAGGTTTAAATAATACCTTCCCCACTGACACTACAGCCCTAAGCCTTTCCTTCCTCTTGCTTCCCTATCCCAGTGCACACATGCACACAATTTTTCCATATAATAGTTATATAATTTCATGCCAACATTATGAGCAATGCATGAACTTCAGGTTAAAGATCTTTGACCTAAATTCACTCATTTAAGCAAATCCTCAAAATGATACCCAAGGACATCAATACTACAAGAAATCACTAAGGAGATCACTAATGCATTATTATCTGAGAGTAATCTACAACAATGATTCTTAACAAAGTGTTCTAGAGAATTTAAAAAAGCAGATTCCTAGGACCTGCTCCAAACCTACTGAATGAAAACATGGAGTTGAACATGTGTGGTTTTTCCAACCTCCACAAGATGCATCAGAATCAGCTACAGTTGATCACATCCATTCTAGAATAAGGAACAGGCAGTTCCATTTTCTATCTGAAGCATCGCATCTACTTTTGGGTGTGACACTTTGAGACGAAGATGAATAAACTGGATAATGTTCACATGAGATCAATCAGGACGGTCAAGGGGAATGGATAAAGGAGCCAGAGATACCTTCCTAGAGATGAAAGAGTGGGGAGAGAGGGAGCACAGAACACTTTAATAGTTGTCCTCATCTGTAAAGAAATCAGAGTTAAAATTTCTTTGCATAAGTCTCTAGGATGGAGGTACAGTCTTCAGATCAATTATTTTTTAAAATCATCCCTAATACAGTAATTTTCAGTGGGAAGAGGGATAATATCAAAGTTACTTGTGAGGCTTTTTATCAACTATAAGCCCCTAAGTCAGGAAAATGAATGTATTGCAGTTTTATGACTTGCTATTAAGGTTGGGCAATCTACTTCCACAGTGATAATGCCTTGGAAACCCAAGGAGGGGTCGCTATGAGTCGGGTCCAACTCCACGGCACATAACAACAACAACATTATGTACTGAAGTACCATGGTACTGAAGAAAGAAGTCTAAGCTGCACTGAAGGCACTGGAGAAAAACAAGTCTCCAGGAATCAACAGAATACGAATTATAGTGCTTCAACAAACATGCAATGCTGGAAATGCTTACTCATCTATGCCAAGAAATTTAGAAGACAGCTACCTAGCCAACCAACTGGAAGAAATCCATATTCGTGCCCATTACAAAGAAATGTGATCCAACAGAATGCAGACATTTTCTAACAATGTTATTAATATCATATTGTAAGCAAAATTTCACTGAAGATAATTCAAAAATGACTACAGACATATATCAAGTGAATTGCCAGAAATTCCAGCCAGATTCAGAAGAGGATGTGGAACAAGGGATATCATAGCTGATGTCAGATGGATCTCGGCTCAAATCAGAAAATACCAGAAAGATGTTTACTTGTGTTTTATTGGCTATGCAAACGCATTGGGCTGTGTGTGTTGGTGGGATTATCAATTGGTACAAGCACTACAGAAAAAGGTATGACACTTCCTCCAAAAGCTAGAAATAGAAATACCATATGATCCAGCATCCCACCCCTAGAATATATACCCTAGAGAAATAAGAGAAGTGACACGAATAGACATACGCATAGCCATGTTAATTTCAGCATTATTCACAATAGCAAAAACATGGAAATAATTCAAATGCCTGTCAGTGGATGAATGGACAAACAAAATATGATACATATACAGTGGAATACTACACAGCAACAAAGAATAAATGATGAGTCTGTAGAACATAACATGGATTAATCTGGAGGACATTATGCTAACTGAAAACTGTCAATCACAAAAGGACAAATATCATATGTCATCACTTTTATTAAAAAATCAAGAATAGGTTTACGTAGAGAAAGCAACATTCTTTGATGTTTACCAGGGATGGGAGGAAAAGGGAGGGAGAATCACTTACTATATAGTTCACATGTGTGAACTCTGGTGAAGGAAAAGATAATTTACAAAATGGGAAAAATAACCATATGTGATCAAGGTAAATGAAGACACTGAGAAGTATGTAAGAATAAAGGATAACTAAAATAGGAGCTCTGGTAGCATAGTGCCTAAGGCACTTGACTACTAACCAGAAGGCTAGCAGTTCAAACCCACCAGCCACTCCTTGGAAGGAAGGTTGGGTAATCTACTTCTGTAGAGATACCACCTGGGAAACCCAAGGAGGGGTCGTTATGAGTCTAATTGACTTGACAGAAATGAGTTTTCTTTTGAGGTTATGGGAATACATGTGCATGCACTTATGGGTATAGTTGTAATTGTATATACATATTTATATTGCTTCAAGTATATTCATACATATATATATATATAATAGCACACCTTGGGGGTACAGTTATGGAAAGTTCTTAGACATATCCAAGTATCTCATGGGACTGAATTACTGGGCTTGAAGGCTAAGGACCAAAGGCTCAGGGGACATCTAGCATAACATAGTTCATAAATACGATGTCCTAAATCCCAATCTGGTGAGAAGCATCTGGGGTCTTAAAAGCTTACAAGCAGCCATCTAAGATCCAACTATTGGTCTCTTCTCATCTGGAGTAAAAGAGGGTGGAAGAAACAAAAAACTCAAGGAAGAAATCAGTCCAAAAGACTAATGGCCTACACAAACCACAGCCTCCTCCAGCCTGAGACCAGAACTGGATGGTGCTGGGCTACCACTGATTGCTCCGATCAGGAACACAATGGAAGGTTCTGGTTAGAATGGGAGAAAAATGTAGACCAAAATTAAAATTCATTATTAAAAAAAAAAAAGACCAGGATTACTGGATTGATATAGACTAGAGGAACCTCTGAGACTACCTGTCTAAGATACCTTTTTAACTTGGAACTGAAGCCACCTCAAGAGGTCATCTTTCAGTCACATAATGAAAGTGAAATAATAGATTGGTCTATAAAAAAAACACCCATGAGGAATATGCGCCTTAGAACAATCAACTATATGAGACCAAACAGTTAACATTTAGACAAAAGCAAAGAGACAGGAAGGAGGGGCCGGGAAACTGGATGGATGGAAACAGGGAAGGCAGGGTGGAAATGGGGAGAGTGTTGGCACGTTGCAGGGATAGCAACCAATGTCTCCGAATGATTTGTGTATGACTGTCAAATGGGAAACTGATTTGTTGTGTAAACTTTCACCTAAAACACAATAAAATATTCAAAATCAAAAAGGCAATATTAAAAAGAGAAAGAGAAAAAAAAAGTTCCATGAGGCTACTCTTCCTTTTCCACCTCCACTGTCCTCCCACAGCCCCCTTTAGTCTCCCCTACCTCTCCAAATGTATGCCCAACAATGAAGTACAACAGATCTAAAATATAAAATCCTTCTCCCTAAAAGCTCACCATGACCAGGAAGATAAAGTCCAAGTATGGCCACCCAACACAAGTTCCCTGCCCACCTCTTTGCACTCACCTTTTGCCCATCCACAGCCAATCCACAGACTTGTTTTTTTTTTTTTTTTTTCCTGAGCCTTTACAAGCTGCTGCTTGTGTCTAGGATGGCCATCATCTCCCATCTTGTCCCACCATCCTCCATTACAACTCCTCTGGGTATCAACATTCTGATGCCTTTCCTGACCACCAGCTCCCACCTTTCTAGAAAGTTGGGCATGTCCACTCTGAGTAACTTAAGCTCCGTGGAAGAACTTCTATTATTGCCTATCGCACTGTGGGGTAAATGACCCAGCTTTACCTAAGCAAGGTGGCCTTTGCCCTTGCCTCCAGAGAAATAACCCTTGAAGTAACTGGGGTAACTTGGTCTGGGATTTCAAGAGCACACCTACAAATCTGTGCTAGTAAGTGAGAGCTGGTCACTCTAGAAGAGATCCAACTGGAAGGCCAATATCAACTAGCCCCAGGAGTCATGATTTAGGCCTATCACGCAGGACTGGCCAATTAAGGCCTGGAACAGACAGCTCAGAGAGCTTTCTGGTTGATGAAGGGAGGGTGATGCGCCCTCTCTGAAACCTGGCAGCTCTGCATTGGGAACCTTCCCAAATTTCACCTGCACATCTTTTCTTTATAATGATCTTGATTATATCATTTTACTATAATAAAACCAGAAGTCATAAGTATATCTTCCATGCGTCATTTCAGCAAATTAACAAACCCAAGGACAGTGTCCTCTTAACTTGCAAGGCCTGACCTAACTTCAGGTGACTAGGGTCAGAGAGAAAGAAGGCTGTGTGGATGGCTACTATCAGAAATGATAGAGAAGTGGGAATGAATGTATATGATTAACCTCCACCTTCTGGCGATCAGCTTGGTGCTGATTCTCATCCACATTTTCAGCCACAGCTATCACTGTACACACTGCACCACATTTACTGGCTTAAATGTTCCTCCTACTAGAATTCATCCCCCCAGCAACCTCATCAGTGCCTGCCACATGACGCATAACAAAAAAAAAATTGTTCATGAAGTTAAAAGATATTATTGGACACATACCCTATCCTCTAACCAAGTCTCTCCAAAGAGAACTCAGTTAGGACCCTGTAGAGAACAATGCTACAGACTGAAAACAGCCAATTATTTTGCTTCCCTTCCTGAGTCTCACTAAATGAAACATTTAGGACAGAGCAGTACTCCCCAAGTTTGTCCTAACAGCATCCAGGGTACTTTTTAAAAGTATGGATTTTGAAGCACCCTTCTACCATTGCATCTGATAGAGCAGGTCGGAAGCTAAGTGCCCAAATTTAAATTTTGATAAGCACTTCCCATGTTATCCTTTTAAATCACATAAATTTCATAACTACTGAGTTAGAAGGAGCTCTGGTAGCATAGTGCCTAAGGCATCTGACTGCTAACCAGAAGGCTGGTGGTTCAAACCCATGAGCCATTACTCGGAAGGAAGGTTGGGCAATCTAATTCCATGGTGATACCACCTTAGAAACCCAAGGAAGGATCACTATGAGTCAGATCCAACTCGACGGCAATGCGTTTCTTTTTTTCTTTTTTTTACTGAGTTACGGGAATTAAGAGATGACTAACTAACCCTCTCTGCCATTTCTAAATAGTAAGATTCAGTAGGGTTCTATTTGAGGTTCAGTTTTTCATTGCATTGGGAGAATCTTTATTTGAGGCAAAAGAGGTGGGACCAGGACACGGATTGAAGATGAGGAACCCAGGCACAAGCTGCTTGGGGTTAGGACAGAGGTAAAAGGCTTGTGTGGCTCTCCTCAACATTTACCAGGGCAGAAACCAAACAAGCACGAAAGGAACATGCTTCTTGGCAATAAGGGGAATGTAATTGGCCAGAACATCTGCTGTCTGTTTTATGAGGCTGAACAAATCAGCAGTCACAATCAGCAGGTGACTGGATGGAGAGGAGACCCTGTAAGCAGGGAACCCCATCACCAGCAGCAGTCTACTCTCAAAGAGACACGGTGGTGGTGGGGCTGGATCGGCAACTGTGCCAGCCACAACAATGCCTGGTACTGATCAGGCTACAAAAGGAATTAGTCCATAGCTGAGGACCAAAAACTGTTGCCTGCTCTACATGGGGATCAGATGCATGCCCTCATTTCTTTGTTCTAATCTACAAGGCCTCTGCTTTCACTCCCTGCCTCATGCAAGTCACTCAGCAGTGCATCCACTTCGAGCTGACACTGTGATCAACCTCCGTCAGCGTACAAGAGCAGGTGTCTCCCTCCACCACACTGGAGCACATCTGTACTCCAAGGACTCTCCTTAGGAACAGCAGAAGAACAGGTACCAGAACCTTTACCCATTATGTTTGATAGAGGATGTATACATCCCTCACACCTGGCTCAGTTTACCTTGTCATCATTCTGCATGTGTTTTAAGCATGGGTATCCTATCTCAAACTAAGAGCTAAGACAGAGTTACTTAATGAAATATTGGAGGCAATTCCTCTAATGATATATAGTCTCTATGCCCAGTAGATGGTGACTAAATAACTTTTGGAAGAACACACACACATACAGAAAGTAATACCCCCAGGTGTTTTACGACACATTGACAGAAAAACCTGTTTAAGATATTTCTCTTGGTCATTTAGCGAGTATTTTAGCTAAAAATGCTGCCAATACTTAACATCCAGCCAATTTCTTAAAAAAGAATATGACTATGGCAACGATGTGGGTCCAGGTGACAAAACCCATGTGTGAGAATATAGTAGAAATGTGGTTCCACATCAGTGTACAGACTCACACGTCTGGGCATGCTGGTCTAGAAATGAAGCACACGCGATGGAGTATCATGCTCTCTGATGTCTGCCCTGGGGGTTAAGTGCTCTCTAACCACTCACGGCAATTGGCCTCATCCTGGCCATCCTGGCAATCTTGATGACCATCACAGCGCTTCCAGTTGGGGATACACTTCTTTGGTTGTCGGCATTCAAACTCAAATCGGTCACATCTTCCAAGCTGGGTGGTACTGGAGGTGGCAGTGATATTTGCTAGAAGAAAAGATTTTTAAAATTCAATTTTGGCAGTGATGACACTGGTAAGCAACAGCAGCCAGTTCAATTTAGTAGGTGATCAAGGAGCTCTGGTGGCACAGTGGGTAAGGTCAGCAGTTCAAACCCACCAGCTGTTCCAAGGGAGGAAGATGAGGCAATCTATGTCAATAAAGATTTACAGCCTTGGAAACTCAATGGGGGTTGCTATAAGTTGGAATTGACTCATAATTGAGTTGGAACGCAGTGGGTTTTTGTTTGTTTTAAGGTGCTTCAGGAATTACAATGGGGACCTGAAGACAAATATGAGTTCTGGGTAGAGAGTAGATTGGATACCTCACCTAATTCTGCCCTCTCACAGAACTCCACCAAAGCCATAGTTAAGAGACTGCTCTTCAAGACAAACTCACAAGGACAGGGAAAGAGAGGAAAGCAACACAACTCTGGAAGCTTGGAAGCAGACAGACAAGCACAAATGACTCAAGAGACCAGAGAAGGCTGTATGCCACCCTACACTGTCAGGGTGGAAAGCTAAGAACCAGCATGATCTACACCACACAATCCTCAAGAAGCTCAGAAATTCAGGGTAATATGGGGAAACTGACTGACAGATGTTGAAGATGCAGTTAGATTCCCCGCATCCTCTTTCCCTCCAAATACCACTGGACAGCTGCCCTTCCATTATTCCAGAAGAAGAATTAGAGAACTCCCATATGGACAGGATCAAAACAAAGGTTTTCTTAGCCAGCCACTTGATAGTAAGAATACTGCACCAAAAAAAAAAAAAAAAAGATGAAGTGTATAGAATGTGAAGACACTGGCCTTCTTCCCAGAGAACCTGCGGTGAATTGCTTGATGTGGCCCTTCTAGCCATTGTCCTCCATTCTGTGGTGTTTTGTAAATACCATTATCCATGCCTGTTTGGGGTGGTGTGGTAGTTAAGGTCAGGTATCAACTTGGCTGGGCAGCTGGTAGTAGTCATTCCCTATAATGACTGGCAATCGACTCTGTGATGGGATTTAAGTTAATTCTGTTGGGGCAACACAGGTGGAATGTATCTTGAGTCCTGCCTTGCTGGAGGGTATAATTCAAATCACCACCCTTAGCTTCCCTGAGGGTATACCTACGAATCTCCTCTTGCTCCGGCTTTGTGTCTTGGATCATCCTCATCTCACCCCTGGATTTGGGACAGCCACCGCCGTCCGATCTGCTGATCGAGGTTCATCAAACCCTGAGAGTTGGGAGGATCCGCCAGACCTACTCACGGACCTGGGACTCGCCAGCCTGCCAGCCTCAATCACTACTACGTGAGACGAACCCTTGGGTGTCTGTGAGTTCTGTGAGGCGTTACAGCGAAATTCAGAACCCTAAGACTGGGGAAATTACTGGGAGGAGGAGGAGGGGTTAATGTCTGAAATGATGGAGTGGCATGGTAGTTTGGACATTTGGGACATCTTTGACCTCCGCCTCATGGGGACCAGCCTCATGCTGATCTTTCTAAGAGAAATTGTTCAAGCAGAACCCCAGCAAACCACAAAAGGAAGAAAACTCACTGCTGTTGAGTGGATTCTGACTCACAGTGACCCCAACTGAACAGTTATCCCCAGGTAGGAGATTGTTAAGAATCTTCTCTGAGGAAAATAACCAGCCTCAGAATTGAGCCCTAAAGTTATCAAATCAAGATCATGAGGTCCCCAACAAACACTCAGCAATGAAATTCAAAGTTGAAAACCCCTACCCATGTGTTTAGAATTTCTCCACATCATTTTTTTTTAAAGGCAATGTAGAAGTAACAGATTTTGTAAGACAAAAACAAATAATAATCATCCGTATTATGCTCAGGAAGAGGAGAATACATAGATTTATTCATTAAAAAAAAGAAGAGGATGCCTTAGAAAAGGAAAATTCAGAGGAGCAAAATATAAAAACAGTCTCAAAACTGAAACCATAACAGGAATGAAATACTTAATAGGAAAGCTGGAAGAAACAATTTAGTAAGAATGTCAGAAACTGAAACAAACAAAAAAAAAGAGATAAAAATAAAAAGTAAAAAGACTGGGAGATCCAATATAGGAATGACAAAAGAAACAAAAAGAGAACACAGAGGAGAAAAAAATTATCGATGAAATAAAAAAATTCCTAGAACTAAAATACATGCCTGACTTATTTATTCTTTTATACAGAATAAAAGAACCCATAGGACTCACCACATTGGATGGAAATAGATCTACACTAAAGTGCATTGTTCTGAAATTTTGAAACAACAGAGCGAAAGGGAAGATTCTATAAGCTTCCAGAGAGAAAAAACAGGTTATATACTAAAACAAAATCAAACTTTCTCCAGAACTGTTTGTTGACAGTGGAGCAATGTTTTCGAAATTCTGAAAGAAGATCATTTACAAACCAGTCAAACTATCAATTGGGTCTGAAGACAGAATAAAAATGCTTTCAGACAAAGCAAGATCTCAAAAACATAACTTCCACTTATTCTTTTGCAGGAACTTTCTGGAAAACATGCACTACCAAAACACGGGATTAAACTGAAAAAGAGGACATCTTAGAATACAAAAAAAAGAAGTACCAACACAACAGAGACATAAAACGTCCTTAAGGTGATGATGAAGAAACATCTTGGGAGACAACTGTGTACCAGGCAAAGATGGCAGCTGGTCTAAACCAGAGCAGCAAAGGTCAAAGGACAAAAAAGAAGACACAGGATATAAGAAACAGTGACTCTAAGTCAGAAAAAGGCTAAAGTATTCTTAGGAGGTCAGTGGAAGCCCTAGAGTAATGGTCGTGCAGCTAAGTGAGGGAACACCAGTCCCGAGAAGAGAATGCAAAAGTGGCTAGAAGGGCTGTCTCCAAGAGAAAAACTGGAACTGGTGAACTATGCAATTACTCGTGGAAATTATATTAAGAATCTCTTGAAAGACGGAAACAATTAGCAATCAGTGCAAAATAATCAGACCAACCAATCAACTAAAGTAATTATTAACTTTACACTACTGTGCATATCCAATATTTTTCACTGGACTTTCAAATGAACCTTCTACAAACCACCAAAAGATGTAAGAACGATTACGCTAAAATGTAAGATACATAGAGGAGAATGGTAAGAAATGAGGCTAAAAAGCTGGGCCAAGACAAATCATGGCACTTATTCTGGGATGATAGGGGAGACAACAGAAGGTTCAAATGCTGGGGTGGATATGATCATGCATAAACATGTGGCTTTATTAGAAGATAAATGAAGAGGGGAGGAAAATGAGGCAGAGTAAACATTTAGGAAATGTTTTACTGACGAAATCCAAAAGCTAGAGACAACACCACATTTCAGTGGCACCAAAAATGTACATTTAAGAAAGGAAATACAGAAGCTGAATGGAATGGGTAAGTAGGGATTTGCTCAGTCAGAAGCACTCACTGGATCAGTTAGAATTTAGTAGAGTCTGTGAATGTCCTGGCCAGAGTTCCTATAACCAGAAAACAATTTGCCAGAAGGATGATCAAGTTACTAAGGAGACAGGTAGGCCTTAGGGAGAATAAAGCCAGAGACAAAAGATGTTTCTTTTTTTCCTTTACAATTCATTTTAATTTGAGAAGCATTTCTGGGACACCTGTTGTTGTTAGGTGCCGTCGAGTCGTTTCCGACTCATAGTGACCCCATGCACAGCAGAAAGAAATACTGCCCGATCCCGCGCCAGCTCTATGATCCCTGCTACACTTGAGCCCATCATCGCAGCCACTGTGTCAATCCATCTCATTGAAGGCCTTCCCCTCTTTTGTTGACCCTCCACCCTACCAAGCATGACATCCTTCTCCAGGGAATGGTCCCTTCTGACAACATGACCAAAGTAGGTGAGACGAAGTCTGGCCATTCTTGCTTCCAAGGAGCATTTCGGGTGCACTTCCTCCAGAACAGATCTGTTAATTCTTTTAGCAATCCATGGTACTTTTAGCATTCTTCGCCAGCACCACAACTCAAAAGCATCAACTGTACTTCAGTCTTCCTTATTTATTGTCTAGCTCTCACATGCATATGAGGCGATTATAAATATCATGGCTTGTGTCAGGAGCACCTTAGTTGCCAAGGAGACATCCTTGCTCCTCAGCACTTGAAACAGTTCCTTTGCAGTTGACTTTCCCAATGCTACACATTGTCTAATGTCCTAACTGCTGCTTCCATTGGCATCGATTGTAGAACCAAGCAATGTGAATTCTTTGACAACCTCAATCTTCTCTCCATTTATTGTGATGCTGCTCATTGGTCCAGTTGTGAGGATTTTTATTTTCTTTATATTGAGACGTAATCCATACTGCAGACTGTATTCTTCAACCTTCATCAGTAAGTGCCTCAAGTCATCCTCACTTTCAGCAAGCAAAGTTGTATCGTCTGTGTATCTCAGGTTGTTAGTGATTCTTCCTCCAATCCTGATGCCACGTTTTTCTTTATTCATACAGTCCAGCTTCCAGATTAATTGCTCAGCATATAAATTGAGTAAGTATGGGGAAAGGATACAACCCTGACACACTCCCTTCTTGATTTTAAACCATGCAGTTTCCCCTTGTTCTGTTTGAATGACAGCCTCCTGGTCAAGGTACAGGTTCCTCATGAGTACAATCAAGTGCTCAGGAATTCCCATTCTTCTCAATGTTATCCATAATTTGTCATGATCCACACAATCAAATGCCTTTGCATAGTCAATAAAACACAAGTAAACATCTTTCCTTGTATTCTTTGCCTTGAGCCAAGATCCATCTGACAACATCTGTGATATCCCTTGTTCCATGTCCTCTTCTGAATCCAGCTTGCACCTCTGGAAGTTCTCTGTCAATATACTGCTGCAACCGTTTTTGAATTATCTTCAGTAAGATCTTACTTGCATGCAATATTAATGATACTGTTCTATAATTTCCACACTCTGTGGGATCACCTTTCTTTGGAATGGGTACAAATATGGATCTCTTCCATTCAGTTGGCCAGGTAGCTATCTTCCAAATATCTTGGCATAACCAAGTAAGTGCCTCCAATGGGGCATCCATTTGTTGAAATATCTCAATGGGTATTCCGTCAATTCCTGGAGCCTTGTTCTTCACCAATTCTTTCATTGCAGCTGGGACTCCTACTATTTGCCTATTATTGCAGTAAGCACAGTGAAGTACTCAAAAGCAGTAAGTGACATGATCCCAAACAAGATCCACACAATTACTATGGAAATAAAAAATAATTAGGACACAATATATGGCAAATTGGAATCCCAGGATGGTATAAATGCTGAATGCACTCAGCTGCTAACTGAAAGGCTGAAGGATCTAGTCCACCCAGACACACTTTCGAAGAACGGTCAGGTGATCTACTTCTGAATAATCAGCCATTGAAAACCTCATGGAGCACAGTTCTACCCTGGCACACATGGGGTCACCATGAGTCAGAGTCACCTCAACAGGAACGGGTTTTGATACGGCAAATTATAGTTAAGGATGAAAAGAACAACGGGTAAATTCAGTAAGACCCAAAGAGAGATCAACATTAGTTACAGGAGACAGTGAAAGGTCCATGGAAGTGGGGCTTTGGATGGTAATGATACTCTATGTGTTTGAAGCAGGAATCTTAGTGCACCTAAGAATCACGCAGGGACCTCCTAGGCTCCACTCAGAAATTTTGATTCTGCATTTTTGAGAAATACGCCAAGTGACTTCATACTTTGAGAAATACTGATACTACAATACAGTCTCTTATACCTACAAAATCCATCTGTGCTTCTGTTTGCCCTGATAGATGGGTTTCACAAACAGGGAGAGCAGAAGGAAAAAGTCAAGGAGAGAAGTTTCTTATAGAGGCAAAAGCCCTGCTGGAGGCATCCAGGCAGAAGAGGAGCAGTCTGTCCATGGTGGACAAGGAGCCCAGCTTGGCTGATTTAAGAAGTCATGAGTACCAAGGAGGGGTCAGCTCATAATGGAAATTAAGGGTCAAGGTTTGATCTCTGGACAAGAGGAAACCACTGATGATTTTAAACAGGGAAATAAGGAGATAAAAACAGGGAGAAACACCAAACTGTTGACTGAGAAGTTTGCTAGAAAAAAGCCTACGCAAAACATGGTAAACAATTTTCTGTTCTCTTAGTATAATTGAGTTTAAAATAGAAGACTGTTTAGGAAAGGATATAGCATCCTCAGCTCTGTTCTGTCTGCAGTTAAGAGCATGAATGAAGTCTCCAGGTCTACCTTCACCTCCAGCAATATGGTTCCCGCACAGACCTTCAGCTGTCTCTCCGTGTTCAGCCACTAGATGGCAGTGCTTACCCTTCTTTTAGCAGGCACACCAGGTGAAGCAAGATTAGGCTCTCTCCCCTGAGGGTTACACACACACACCCACACCCACACCCACACACACACACACAGAGAGAGAGAGGCAGACACACACACACACACACATGCCACCCCCACCTACCCTTCCTCAGTATTCCTGTCAGGGAGGAAGCTAAGGTGGCTGGCTCACCTGCAGATGAGGTGAAAAGCTGGGTGGCTTGACTTTTCTTACAGGAAAACCAAAGAGCAGTTAAAGAAGATGAAACGTTCCAATTGTGACTTCCTGTGTGTCTAGAATCCAGGGAGCAGCCCCTGGAGTCTCCCTGCTCTGGAGGTGCTATCACTGAGAGGCAGTCGCAGGGCGCTCCAGACCTCCTTTCATACTTAGCCCAGCCATGCTCCCAGAGTACACCCAGATGGTCCTCCCCTCTAGCAGCGCCTAGACTCACCAGGAGAGGGGCAGGCTTCCTCATCTGAGCCATCTGCACAATCACGGTACCCATCACACACCCAGCTGTCCATCACACAGGTCCCACTGCTGCAGCGGTAGTAATTGGGCAGACATGTGGAAGGCCCAGGAGTCGGGGAGGGAAGAATACGTGAATCTAGGAAAACACCAAGCAAGAAAACACAAAGACAAAGTGTTACAAGAATCTTCATCCCAGACCAAAAAGTGCCTCAAACCTAGAGTAGATGTTTCAGCTTTAGCTGCACCTGCCAAGGGAGGTATAAGTGGCAGGCGTTTGTTTCCACATAGCAGCTCACCTAAAAATCATTTATGCTGGGGTTTTAGACCAGAGAGCATCCTTTTCCCTTACCTATGGTATTTGGTTTGAGCTAACATTAAGATAAATTGGCTTTTGCAGGGGCTCATGCAGGCACAGAGAAAGAACAGGTGACTCTGAAAGGCATCTGTGGTAGTTACATTTGTGTGTCAACTTGGCTGGGCCTGGTTGAGTGGCTGGGAAGCTGGTGGTAGTTATTCCCCATGAAGATACTGGCAATCAACTCCATGGTGGGATCTACCACAAGCAGCTGAGTAGCTGCCCTTGGGATGTGATCTGCTTCCTGTACATAAGGAGAAACCTTGGGAATGGTCTCTAGCCTATGGCATGCTTGGACCCTGTATGTAGCCATATCGTTGCTCAGCTGCCTGCTATGCTCTGCCAACCTTGGGACTTACTACGGATTAAGTTAATGGCCTGCTGTGTAGTTTGGTAACATCGGGACTGTGCCTTTTGACTTGTCAACCTTGGGCTTGGCAGCCTCAGCAGCCAGCAGCTGTCTGAGTGAAGAAAAGCCTCTAGCTCCAGTGGGCCAGGAGCTGGAGGCAGAGCTGAAGCCCAAGGCTGAGGGGATTATCACCCAGCCCCTAGAGCTTGGCACTTTGAATTTGGACTTACAGCTTCCAAATTGTAAGAATAAACTCCTATTTGTTAAGGCCATCCCATTTGCAGTATATTCTTGTCAGAGTGGCACTAGGTAACCAGAACATCTCACTGCCGTCGAGTCGGATCTGACTCATAGTGACCCTTCCTTTGGTTTCTGAGGCAGTATCTCTACGGAAGTAGACTCCCCAGGCTTCCTTCTGAGGAGTGGCTAGTGGGTTTGAACCGCCAGCCTTCTGGTTAGCAGTCAAATGCCTTAGGCAGTACACCACCAGAGAAAGGCTTGGGGTGGCTGAAAGAATTTCTACTGAGCCTAACATTTATCCTAGTTAATTCAACTACAGCTACCCCAGGACTGGACATTGAGTTGAAAATACCAAAAAGGAAAGACACAAGCATTCATTTCCTATCAGGGCTCCTCAGTGGTATCCCTGCTCACCCACTGCCTGGAAACCTTGTCAAATGCAGATTCTGACTCAG